GGTGTCGGGCCGCGACGTGGCGCAGGGTCCTCTGGGGTAGGAGCGCTGGCGCCCTGGAATGAAGCTGCTGCGGCGGCCACTGCTGGTCCTCTGGATCGACGTCGATCAGCAGGTTGCCCCGCAGGTCGCTGTTGCTTGATATCGCCAGGATTGGGGCCACTTGGGCCTTTACTCTTCTTCTGTTTAGGCGGTGGTCTGAGCTGAACAGGACCGATTGACTTGGGATTGCTCGAAGAACTCGAAGATTCAGGCAGCATGATAAGTTTAGATGTATTTGACTTGGTCTTTGCTTTCGGAGGAGGTGCTTTTGGCGTTGCCCCTACAGGTGCCCATGGCTCATACCGCATGGAATCTCTGTCATGGTCGAGGTCCACCCCATTTGGCTGTCTGAGTGCCACATTCCCGATGGTAGCATTGCCCCTGATGGACAGGTTGTAAATAGTAGCGCTAAGCCTTTCGTCAACGGTAGTCTTTACCCAACCTACAGATCCAGCGCGGTAGGCGAAATATCCATGCCTTCCGTGACGATGAGGGGCGTCCGTGATGTCTTCAGCTTCATCATATTCTTGCTAGTCGCCTTCTTTTGGTTCGGGCGAAGCAGGTTCCCCCGCACTCCAATCACGGTTGCATGTGTTTAAATAACGATCATGTGAAAAGTGTTCCAGACCTTCATATAGTGAGATATGTATTTGGCGGTAGTTTGTTCGTAGCCGTCGTCCGTCAACTGCTCGTCGTATGGCGTTGTATTCGGATCGGTGCAACGACCGCGACCATTGCCGTGAGACCAGACCCGCGGTGTCTTGCGGAAGCTGGGGCCCCTTGATGGGCGCCTCATGGGGCGGCCGAGCCTGCGGTCGGCAGGCTCGGAGCAAGTGCAAACGACACCTGGGTCAAGGTTCCGTTCCTCGATTATGGCCCTCTTACAGTCACGCTTTATGAGGGCGTCTTGCGTTTTGACGTTCCCCCTTCCATTTTGAGCACATGACTTTGACTTCGCGATTTCGATCAACCTTGCGAAGAGAATACCAATGGCGAATCTGGTGCTCAGTCCAACCCTTGTGCAACCAGTGTCGCATTGTATCTGGCTCGATGTACTGGCGAGCCAATCCAGCATCCGAGCGGTCAGCAAGGCGCTGTATTTCGCCTTCTGGGTACTATTCGCGAGGTTATTCCCTTTGACGCGGGTGTCCCCGCGAGCGCTCCCTCCTCGGTGGGGCGCCAGGTCCATTGCCTTCATTTCCGGGGTCCTTGGGGTCCTCTTATCAGGATGACGAGGGCGCTGGAAGCCGCTGGGGCGCCGCTGGAGCGCGCGCGCGTTCGGGTGAGCCGCTGCGGGCCCGACCGCGACGCCCCAGACGTGCGTCATCTTCCCAGTGTTCGTCATCGTCGTCGGCGCGATACGTACGTCTCCAGGCCTGGCGGCTTGCCGATCGCTCCTGGCAGCTCAAGGAGCGGTCCGAAGCTACGAATGTATATTGAAGTCCTTCGACGTGGCCGAGCTTGCGCTGGATGCGCTCAGACAGATCGCCAGCATCTCGCGGGTTCCCCCGCAGAGGGTCATCATCGCTCAATTCCATGTTTGTGGGATTGCCAATAGCCCGAGGAAAAAGCATCACTTGGATTTCCTCCTCTGTTGCAGGAGTAGTGACTTCTGAATCCGCGGGTGTCACCGCCTGTTCGTCATCTCCTTCGGCGGGCACATGCAAGTTCTCGACGCATCCAATATCGGCCCATGCAGTCTGCCACGTCGATGTCATTGTGGCCAGCGAATACCTCCTCGAACAGCTCGTCAACATATTTGTCGAGGGACATACTGGCACCTAAATGTCCGACAGCCATGGAGTTCACAACTGCAACTGAGCTGTCTGCAGGGTTGGCCAAAAGTGACTCCCAGTCAACATACTGGCCCGAGTCAGTTTGAAAGGCATCGACGGACCTCTGCCTCCCCCACTGCCCTGGGGGCATTCGCGGCGAAAGTGCTGCGCCATGGCAGATGTCGCACTCCATAGTTTTACCGTTGGCATCCTTTGGGGTTCCCCGGCGTCCCTTACCTTTCCCTGATGTGTGCCTGCGGTTCTGGCCTGCACCTGGGGGCATCTTCATGATGCGAACCAGTAAGAGATGCTAGAAATGCCTACATGCTTCTGCCATGAAGTAGCCGCCGTTAACCTTTACCCTTGCCTCGACGCTGGCCCTGTCCCCGGAGTGCGCGTCGGATAATGCGCCGTGCCTTGCGAGCTGGCTTCTTCATAGATCGCCTCCACCTGCGTTGATGTTTATGGTGTCCTAAGACTAACCACTGCGCCTGTTGCTCTTCCGTGTGGTACGTGGGCATGTCGGAGTAGTCCAGGGCGGCACCCTCCTCGCCCGAAGACGCGTCGGCGTCGGTACCAGAGTCGAAGTCGGACTCAGCAGGTTGCCCCGCTGAGCCGATTAGGGCAGTGGCTCGCGCAGGGGCTGCCGCGTCGGGCGGCCGCCGAAGCCGGGCACATGAGTCCTGCAACCCCGAGGCCGAACCACCATTCTTAGTCTATAGTGCGGTGGGCTCCGTTGGTTGCGGATCGCCATTCCAGACGTTATTAGCAGGTTGCCTTGCGTTTGCCTCAGCATGGAAGGTCTCGGCACGGTGGCCGTGCCTGAATATGCCACCGATATTGCCAGGGGTTATTTCAGCAATGTGGGCATATGACCTCATGCGCTCAAGTAGAGAATCAAACTGTCGCTGGTCCCTCGGCTTGTGGTGGCTGAGAGGCTGTAGGTTTTGTTGCGCACGCGACGTCCCCACTCCAAGGTCTCTGAATCAAATAACTGATAGAATTTGGAAATTGGGGACGTTGAAGCCTGCCGTTTCAGCTTCATAGCGGGCTATCTCGAAGCGTGCCGAAGCCTGGTCGATCCGTTCTCCCGCATGGACTCAGAAGTCAACGAGAGCTGCACCAGAGTTGAATTGGCGTTCCTCTTATAGGTTCTCGAGCGTCGCACTTCAGAGGATCCTCATGTAGGTGGCGCCATCGGCATGGCGGTCACGTATGTTTACGCCGGAAGTGATAGCTGCTGGGGAACTCGGCTGTGGCCCGTTCGAGGCCTCCCAAGCCTCGCTGCAAGGCAGCAGCTTGTTGGAAGGGCGTCGCGGCGCCTGTGGTCACGTTGGTCCACGCATGCGCCTCGCGGCCGAATTCGCGGAAATGTACTTGACCAGGCGAGTCCCAATGGGGGCCAGGCGTTCTTGCGTCGTCTCCGTCGCGCGCGCGCCCCACCGCGCGCCCAATAGCAACCCATGTTAGCCCAGATCTAATTATACCAATCCAATGACCTCGTCGGTCGCAGTCGGACGTGGTTGGTCGGGGTTTGCTGCGCGCGGTCGCAAGCCCGCGGGGCGGGGCGGGGGGCGGCGCAATGCGACATCGCACGTTTCAATGCATTATGTCTCCGAAGAGGCTTCCACTTGGAGCAAGTGGGTGGACTTCAGGAGTGTAGTAGCGCAGGGGTGTAGGGCGCGAGTAAGAAGCTTCTGCGTAGGCAAAGGTATCACTGCATGTGTCCTTGCTACGTAGCGCAGTTATATACATTCCCCCGCGCAAGCCACGTCAGTTCCACTGCGCCCTAATGTTCCACCACGTCAGTAGCCCACCAGATAGGCGCCGTGGATGGTGAGGAGTAAAGCAAGGGCTGGCCGCCATAGGCCAGCTCCGCTACCAAGTTTGAAAGGGGTCGGGAGGCCCAACCAGCAGCTTCGCCTTCGGCGAAGCCCAGCTCCAGCTCTGTTGCACCGCAGCGAGGATAGCCCCAATAATAGGAGGCGGGCCATCTCAAGCAATTTTGGCATCGATGGCACATCGCACACCTCACACTGAGGTGTAATCAGATCTGGGCGGCCGGCCGCTTTGACCCAAGCGGCCGCGGGCGCGCGCTCGCTCCCGCTCGCCTGCGCCCCCAGCTCACTTCAGACTTAAGATGGCACCGAGATGGCCCCAGACGGCCCAGGAGGCGCCGAGAGGCCTCCAAGACAGCCCAAGAGGCCCCCAAGGTCCTCCAGAAGGGCCCGAAGAGGCCAAAATTATTGATGCTCCTTAGGTCTTCTGAGGTTGTTGGCATTTGCATCTTTTTCGGCCTTCCGACGGCTCCAGACGGCCCAGGGGGGGGCCCAAGATCGCCCCGAGATCGCCCACGAGGCCTCCAATATGCCCCCACGACGGCCCAAGGGGCCCCCAAGACGGCCCCAAGAGGGCCCACTACGACCTAAGAGCCCTCCAAAACGCGCCAGATGGCCTCCAAGACGGCCCTGATGTGCCAAGAAGGTCCCAAGCCGACCCAGAGAGGCTCCCAAGACGGCCCCCGACGGCGTCAGACAGGCCAGGAACGCCCGACGACGGCTAAAGAAGTCCCCAAGAAGCCCCCAAAGGCCCCCATGATGCCGAAGGAGGCCCCCGAGAGTCCTCCTAGAGGCCCCCAAGAAGCTCCCAGGAAGCCCCGTGGATGCCCCAAGAGGCTCCCCAGAGGCCTCCTCCTCCTCCCCCATCCTCATTTTCCTGATTGTGCAACTCCTCCTCTTCCTCCCATGCGTTCCCCGAAGGCTTTCCGCGACCGCTCGGGAAGCACGTGTCCCGATAGGTCGGGCAAGCTCTGGCCCAACTTTCTGCCGCGCAGGCGCATCCCAAAAAGGCGGGCGGCCCCGAGGCGCCTCCAAAATGGGCCAAGAGGCCTCCTAGACGTCCTCCAGGAGATTCCGGAGATGCCGAACCCATGGTGTCATATATATATATATATACATATATATATATATATATATATATATTAGAATATCGGGATGCGGTTCTGTTCGTTCTTCCGACTGCCTACGTCGGCCCGCGGGGCCAACGCGATCGCCTCAAGATCGCCCACAACGCCTCCAAGATGGTTCCGCGAAGGCCCAAGAGGCCCCCGAGACGACACCAGGACGGTTCCAAGATGGCTCAAGATTGTCCTCAGGATGGCCAAGATCGCCCCAATGGCCCAATGACCTTTCAGACACCTCCAGGACGGCCGGCACGCCCTCCAAGACGGTCGAAACCTGCTCGTGCTGAACAGACCCGAACTGGATGCGATCCTCAACCGGGAAAGCAGGGCCAGAAAGGTCGATCTGGTCGCCGAAGCCGAGCGCGAGCTCATCGGCGCGGCCCTGGAAGAGTTGCGAGATATTGATGACGGCCGAGGGTTCGTCCTTGAGAACTCCTGCAGCAAAAACCACTGTAGCCTTCTCGAGCTCCTCCTCGGCCTCGAGGTCGTATTCCATGAGCTTCTCGAGCTGAACGCTGGATTCTGGAATTTGGCGATCCAACTCAACCCGCTTTGCCGCGGCGCGCTCAAGACGGCCCGCAACTGCCTTGCGATGCTGCTGGGCCTGATTCCAGGCGGCCTGCGTGGACTGCGGAGCCTTGGCTGTCGGACCCATGGGCGCGAAAGGTGCAAGCCATTTCTGGGCCTGAGCAGAAGACGGCGATCCCGCGATGTCCTTGGCCATCGTGGGGGTGTCGGGCGGAAGGCAGACAGCGGCCTCTCCGCGCCTCCAACGCCCCTCGGCGGCCATAACTGGGCGCGCGCTTCCACCATCACCCCCTCGAGCAGCTGGGGCCTGAGCAGCCTGGGCACGTGGCTTACTGGCGGGGTCCAATGTGTCATGGCAGTCGACACACGACCACTTGCGCTCGGCGAGAAGGTCGCTCCACGCCCAGCGGCCATGCGCGCGAACCACGCAAGCAGCACCACGAGGGCGACGACGCGCGCGGGGCTTGCCACCGCCTCGCCCGACCTGGACCCACGGTTCGCATGTCCATCCGCGACCCCGGTCATTGCAATGGGCCAGGAGCAACTGAATTGGGGAAGCTGCTCGCCCGCGGCAGCGGGGGGAAAGGTTCGGCGGGGCGAACCGCCCAGCGCGCGCGGAAGCAGTGTCCTTGGCTGGGGCAGACCAGCACGCAGGATCCAGGTCAAGGGCGACTGACCGAGCGTAAACGGCAAGCCGCGGACGGGCGGCATCCACTGGGTATCAAGAAAAACCTCGGCAACGGAAATACTCATTCTAATTTAGTAAACACATTTTTATGTAAAACACACACACGCACACACACGCACGCAGACACCCCAAAAAACATCGCGCGCTGCATCATCTGCCCCGGAGGGAACTGCTCGGGGGCCGCCGAAGCCTGCATGTCGCAGGCGCCCTCGCTTACCTGGCTCGGTCGCGCAGTCCCGAGCCCAAAGCTCCATCTTCCAACGTCGGGCACGCTTCGAGCAACTCATCAACATATGTTTGGCCCACCGCTCCGGTCGGGCATGTCTAATCCGCCCCCCATCGACGCTTTCACTTTCGGGGGCCTGTGGGCTTTCCTTTCTGGGGATGCAATTGGAAAAAGCTTCGTCCAAGCTTCCGCTTGTGTAATTGATGTCGTACATCTGGCTGTAGTTACGCGTAGATGCGACGGCGCCATCCTCTTCTAGGACCGCGTCGTCGGGCAGGCCCCCAGCTGCGAAGAAGGCGTTCTCGTCGCCCATGCACTCATAGCCTCAGCCACGACCTCGTCTCCCTCATGAGACTCGGGCGCAGGTAACGAATATTGCACCATGAGAACCGATTGAACATCGCCGCGGGCCGACCCCTGGCCCTCGCATCCGCCGTCATCTCCTTGATTCCCGACAAAAGGCAAGGAGGAACTCATGCCATGGATGCGATGGCCGCCATTGCCAGAAGGTCGCGGCCGTTCCAATGCTCAACCGCGCCACAAGCAGCGTCTTTGAGCTTGGGTTCTCTAAGAAGCGCGCGCCCTTGCGCGTTTCTCGGGCCCTCGGGAAACCACGCGCCTGCGCGCAAAATAGTTGACCAAGCATTCACCTCGTTTAGGCGTGGTGTCGCCCGAACAGAAAAGCATCTCAGAAGCCTTCGGCACCCTGCGGTCTTGGCATTCGGCAGAAGACTTCTCAATACGTTTAACAACAACCTGCCCGCCGTCATCTGAAGACAGATGGTCCTCGGTGAGTTCGTTGATGATAATCTTGGGGTCGTCTGTGGCATAGCGATGGATGGAATGCCCGCGCTGCGATTGCAAACTTCTGGTAGCAGCGAACCACAGCTGCAGCTCCTTCATATAAAGGTCGAAGCGGGTATCCAGATCTTGTCCACCCCTAGTGGGAGGTAGGTCGTTTGGTATCTTTGGGGCCTCCGATTGCTCAGGAAATTGCCCCCCGTTGGCGATCAGAAGATCTGGCGCAGATCTCCCCGATTGGTCGGAACCCGAGGAGTGAAAAAAAGGCATTGCCTGTCCTCGCAAACGCGTTCTCCCCCGATTTGGCGCAGCCGGCAAACCACGCCCCCGCGCAGTCCAACTAATCCGGTCATTGCGTAGTGGGCTGTGTATCCGTCCACGGGTGTGAGAGCCCGCGACCCCACTCCTGCTCTGACCAGCCCACATTGCCATCACCTTCCCAGATAACGCGATCTCGTCCTCCAGCTCCTGCCCAAGGACCCTGATTTGATTGCAAGGGCCTGCTGGAAATTGATCATCTTGAAACTGCACGTCGTCTGGGGAATCCATGGCGGCGCTCGGTGCGATAGGCTAAGGAAGGGGAAAAACGAGATAACAGGAAAGAGTATGTCACCAGAGAACCGAATGACAAAAGAGTCGTCCTGACTCCTCTCGTGGATCACAACTACAGGATTCGCTACCACTGTGGGTTGTACGGGAGTCAATGTATGGGTCAAGGGAGACACGACGTACAATTAGGGGGACCCGTGCTAAAAGGGAACACGTTATCCTGTCGTCTATGGAGGCGCGGGCACGTCTGACACCGGCGCACCATGATAGCTCAAGGGCCTTGATAAGCCGATATGGCGGCGCACAAAGGAGTACAGAGAGAGGCGCATGAGGAGAGGCTGGCATGGGCCTGACAACCACAGAATTATTCCTTGAAGCCGGGAGCGGGAAGTCGAAGGTTTTCAGGTGAGGTTCGCGCTCGGTTATTCACAATCGTGGGGTTCGACGGGGTTTGTTCGACACCGCTTGGGCCTCTGGGCCGTCTTGGGGGTTTGGGTTTCCAAACGGGCCTCGAGGCCCGGTTAACGCCCTGGACAGGTATAGACAAGGGGGGGGGTCGGCTACCGTGGGAAGGACCCAACACACGCCGATAAAGCTCCGGGAGGCCACCCAAACGGACCACGAAGGCCCAGAATCGCTGAAAGATCGCTCCAAGACTCGCCTCAGATGGCCTTCGGTCGGCCCAAGGGGCCTCCAAAACGCCCGAGACGACTCCAAGGGCACTCCCACGAGGGCCCCAAGAAGCAAAGTCCTTTGAATTCTTTTTGGTTTTTGAACGATTCTAGGATGTATGATTCTGTGCGCTGCTCGACGCTCCAAGACGGCCACAGAGACCAACAATATCGCCCCAACACGGCACAAGAGGCCCCCCAAAGGGCACCAAGAACACCCAAGATGGCTCCAAGACGGCTACTGGGATGGCACAAGAGGCCCCCCAAGGGGCCCCAAGGGGGGGCCCCAAAGGGGGAACCAAACTGGGGGGGCACGGCGTGCTGAATGTAGAACTGATCTTCGTGGAACCAACCTGGGGAAACCAAACTGGTGATCTTTGGTTATATTTGAACTCCCAATGGGGTCTCGGCATGGTCAGCTGGCCATCCGGAAAGCCCAGGAACATCTGCAGTCCGTCGGTTTTCCCATCAGAAAAAGCCCCAATATGGCCTCCAAGACAGCTAAGATGGCCTCCGAGGCGACCAGGATGGTTCCAAGACAGCACAAGCTGGCCGCAAAATGTCTCCAAGACGGCCCGAGATGCATTCAAGTGGGTCGCGGGACAAACAAGTCTGTAAGAACCGGACAATGTTGAAACAATAGAGGTTCAGAGCAATTATTCATCGAAAACTTGTGAGGCCAAGGGGTGCGCCAGAATTGGCCTTTGGACGCCGGCTCACTCAGCAATCGGAGAGCCAGCCAGCCAGCCAGGCAACCAGCCAACCGATCCTTCCTGCTGAATTGTTTGACGATGTCCCACAGAGCTGAGCCCAGGTCAAATTTGTGTGGCCTCGAAAAATCGCGGGGCGGGGGGATTACTGTATTATTGCATTGCACATTGCACGTTGCACATGGCCTTGCGTTGCATTGCGTTGCGTTGCGATGCATTGCATACTGTTACGCTGCATTTCATTAGGCCGCGTTGCATTGCACTGCATATGAAATACACTGCGTTGCAGCAAATTGCGGGGGGGAGACGGGGAGGTAGAGGGAAACGGAGCGAAGAGGGGGAAAGGGAAGAGGAGAAGCACATTGCATTGCAGTAAGGAGGAAAGAGGGACGGGAGGGGGAGGAGTGAGACAGGTGGAGGGAGGGAGGGAGGAGGGGGAATGGAGGAGGGAGAAGGACGAGGAGGAGGATAGGATAGTTCTTGTATTCGGCTTGCTTGCCCTCGTCATCGTCGTCGTCGTGGCATAATGTGATACAAGGCCCCCACGGCGCTGCTACGTAACGCGTTGCATTGCACTGTGTTGCGTTGCGCTGCAATGCGTTACATCGCATCCTGTCGCGTTGAACTGCGTTGCATGTGCGTTGCATGCGCAATACATTGCATTGCAGTAACTTGCGGGCGAGGGGGAGGATTTGGACTTTGGTCTCAGCCTGGCGTTGAATCGATGGCGTGGGACTCCCGTGGGCCACTCTCTTGGCCCATTTAGATGGCGACTACCTTGTCTTCGTCATCGTCCTCCTCTTCGTGGCGGATTAGACATTGATTCCTTTTGTTGCGGAGTGCAGATTTTTTTGTGGCGGGTAAACCAGGGAATCCTTTTGTGGCGAACTATAAGTTGATTCCTTTTGTTGCGGATTACACATTGATTCCTTGGTGGCGGATTATAGCTTGACTCCTTTTGTGGCGGATTGCAAAAGGAGTCCTTCTGTGGCGGATTACAAAGGGATTCCTTTTGTGGTGGATTACAAATGGATTCCTTTGTGGCGGATTACAAATGGAATCCTTTTGTGGCGAATTACAAAAGGAATCGTTTTGTGGCGGATTCGACATTTTTTCCTTTTGTGGCGGATTGCAAAGGGGATCCTTTTGTGGCGAATTACAAAGGTAATTCTTTTGTGGCGGATTACACATTGATTTCTTTCGAGGCGGATTACAAAGGAAATCCGTTTGTGGCGAATTCCAAAGGGAATCCTTGTGGCGGATTATAATTTGATTCCTTTTGTAGCGGATCACAAAGGGAACCCTTTCGTGGCGGATTACAAAGGGAATCCTATTGTGGAGAATTACAAAAGGGAATCCTTATGTGGCGGATTACAAATTGATTTCTTTTTGTGGCGGATTACAAAAGAAACCCCGTTGTGGCGAATTACAAAGGGAATCCTTTTGTGGGGGCCTTGAGCGGTCTGGACCTGTGTGAGGTTCCCAGTTTTTTGTATAAAAAATCATATAATTATTTAAACGTTTGAATTAAGACAACCAGGTGTCACCTGAGACCCCCCTTAAATTTTTATAAATCAAGTGAGC